AGCAGTAGAGACAGAGACAGCAGCAGCAGAGACAGCAGCAGTAGAGACAGAGACAGCAGCAGTAGAGACAGCAGCAGTAGAGACAGCAGCAGTAGAGACAGAGACAGCAGAGACAGAGACAGCAGTAGTAGAGACAGCAGCAGCAGTAGAGACAGAGACAGCAGAGACAGAGACAGCAGTAGAGACACAGACAGCAGGCACGGACCTGTCTGAGAATGGCAGCTCTGAGATCATCGCTGCTTGTCTGCACAGGCCGAGGAGGCTCTGAGGAGGCTCTGAGGAGGCTCTGAGGAGGCTCTGAGGAGGCTCTGACTGCTGCTAATCACAGCAGGAGAATGTGTAGGTTCAGTTTGTGACGAGGCCAGAGTAAAGACAGAAGGAGACATCTGTGGAACCTGCTGCTGGCTGTAAAGAATAGATACTGCATTATATTAACTCAGGATATTGGTGGTAGAGTTGGACTTACTGTTAGTCTTCCCAGTCCATCCAGAACCAGTCACTTTTATAATTGTTCTTTCAAATAAGCTTGAAATAGACCCCACCATTGTCTCCATTGTATTGGAAAAAATCAGAAATAACCTTGTGAGTTGCTATAAGTAACAAGTGACAGTCAAAAATAAAGTTAGAGGCTCAGTATACATTAAATAGGGTCAGAATAAGACCATAGTGTAAGAACAGGTTAGAGGCCTGTATTTCTTCACTCAATTAATGATGTCAATGGCTTTGAGCTGCTCTGTGTATGAACTCTGCTGTACAAATAGATAGATGTAGAGATAGACAGATAGATAGATAGATGGATCAACAGATGGACAGACAGAGAGAGAGATAGACGCTTGGATAAACATGTCTTGCCTAATGTTACTTGCTTCATAAAATGGCTGTATTGGGGGAAATCATCCAGGCTTACATGAGTTTCTAGCATCCACGTTGGCAGGTTATTAGCTTGACGTCTTGTTCGGCACCAGCTGTTGAGTCCAGGGCTGCCGAGATTGGACCAATCAGGAGCCAGCGTCAGGTGAAGGAAACACAGCCACAGACTTCAGGCTGTTTTAGCAGATAAGAAGAAGAGGCATGTGCTTGACTCACAACTCGATGTAGCTCTAAGGTCATGCTACGGTTCCATAAGCTGCAGGGATCAGAGAGCGTGGACAACACTGCAGCTCGAGTCCAGACTAGAACCAGGAAGTACCGTCACATTAGTCCCGGTCTTAGGTCTCTGCACCTGTGGCTCAGAGAATAGACTTTAAATCAGCTCTGGTTGTTACAAGTCTCTCAATAGCCTCAAAGTACATCTGTGACCAACTCTGACTAGCACAGGGACTGGCCTCCTGCTGGGACTCTGAGGAGCACAGGGACTGGCCTCCTGCTGGGACTCTGAGGAGCACAGGGACTGGCCTCCTGCTGGGACTCAGAGGAGCACAGGGACTGGCCTCCTGCTGGGACTCTGAGGAGCACAGGGACTGGCCTCCTGCTGGGACTCAGAGGAGCACAGGGACTGGCCTCCTGCTGGGACTCTGAGGAGCACAGGGACTGGCCTCCTGCTGGGACTCTGAGGAGCACAGGGACTGGCCTCCTGCTGGGACTCTGAGGAGCACAGGGACTGGCCTCCTGCTGGGACTCAGAGTAGCAAAGGGACTGGCCTCCTGCTGGCACTCGGAGGAGCACAGGGACTGGCCTCCTGCTGGGACTCTGAGGAGCACAGGGACTGACCATCTGCTGGGACTCTGAGGAGCACAGGGACTGGCCTCCTGCTGGCACTCTGAGGAGCACAGGGACTGGCCTCCTGCTGGGACTCTGAGGAGCACAGGGACTGGGCTCCTGCTGGTAGTATTTCGTATTTTAACACCTTTTGTGATTTAGTTTCTATCTTGTTTTGTTCAGCCTTTAGAGTTGCCTTGTGCATGAACCATGCTATACATATAAACTTGCCTAAACTCTGAAGTGGCCGTGCAATAATTTAATCTCACTTAAACTCTAACTTTGCAGCAATAGTCCGTGTGGCTGAGAATCCATTCACTTCATGTCAGTCTGTGTTAGATTGGTAGACCAGGCCTCCGTGTGAGTGTCTCTGGAGGTAACGGAGGTTGTTTTGACAGAGGGAGTCAACAGTAGCCGTGTTAGCTGCTGCTGATGACCTCCTCTGGGATTCTGAGCCGAGGAGGAGGAGGAGGAGGAGGAAGAGGAGGTCCGCAGGAGGCTCACTGGAGGAATGATCCACCAGCGGCCGGTCCCTGGTGGCTTTACCTCACTGGTTCTTCCAACAAACACATCAATACGAGCCACACTTTCTACAGTTAGACCCTATATAAGCAGTAGGCATTCTCTGGTGTGTGTGTGTGTGTGTGTGTGTGTGTGCGTGCGTGCGCGCGTGCGTGTGCGTGTGCGTGTGTGAGTGTGCGTGTGTGTGTTGTCGATGCACACAATACATCACAACTTTAAAGATGCAGTGGAGGGCAGGGGGAAGGGTGACTTTGTGTCATGCTAATGCTACTGCTAAATGCTAACCAGAATCCATTACGATTGTACTTTCGACTTCTATATTATTTATAACATTTGGACAATCTACTTTTTGTCCATCGTAAAAACCAGATGGTGTTTATCTCAACAGAAAGAGTTAAAAAGTAGTAGAATTTTGTGAAGAAAGCAGACCACACTATGCCGTCTTTATCTCATCAGAAAACATGTATGAAAGCCCTGTGACTCACTATTTGACTTAGAGCTGATTGGCTGAGAGCTGATTGGTTGAGAGCTGATTGGCTGAGAGCTGATTGGTTGAGAGCTGATTGGCTGAGAGCTGATTGGTTGAGAGCTGATTGGTTGAGAGCTGATTGGCTGAGAGCTGATTGGCTGAGAGCTGATTGGCTGAGAGCGGGTGGTCCTTAGTCACTTTTCTGTTTGAAAAAGTTGATTGACAGTTTTGAGGCGAGGGTCTAAATGAATGTTGTTGCATTATAATAGTCCCACCTCCAGAGACGCCCTGTTTCCACCGGCCATACTCTACTCTACTCTACTCTACTCTACTCTACTCTACTCTACTCTACTCTGCTCTACTCTGCTCTACTCTACTCTACTCTACTCTGCTCTGCTCTGCTCTGCTCTGCTCTACTCTACTCTACTCTACTCTACACTACTCTACTCTACTCTACTCTACTCTACTCTACTCTACTCTACTCTACTCTACTCTACTCTACTCTACTCTATCCATTCAGTCATGATGACCTTCCTGTTGTAGAATGACGATAAGTATTTATCAGGTACCTGTGTGCCTGTGTGTGTGTGTGTGGGTGTGTTTGTGTGTGTGTGTGTGTGTATTTGTGTGTCCCTCTCTTTGTGTCTGTGTGTGTCTCTGTAAGTGTGAATGTGTTGTTTAAAGTACGAGAGCAGAGACAGTCTTCCTGATAACGGCCTCAGCTCCGACAGAAACCTGACATTAAGAATGAAATATGTATCATTATTACATTTATTAGTATTATTATTATTAATAATAATACTAATATCAATGACAATAGTGATATAACATTAAATGATAACCTATTTTTGATTAATAATTTTCAGTTCACAAAGAGATTTCGATTTTTAGTATTCTGTGATCATTGCATACAATTGCATGCAGAAGCCTGAGCCGTCTGAAGCTAAGCAGGACAGGGCCTGGTTAGTGCTGTGATGGGAGACCTCTGGGAACAGCAGGTGCCACAGTGGGGCGGCTGCGGCTGTAAAGTGCTAAACTGTGATTGTGTCCTTAGGCAAGACACTTCCCCCACATTAGAATGAGTCTGGTGTGTGTGTGAATGGTTGGTGGTGGTGGGAGGGGCTGATGGTACAGACTGGTTGCCTCGCTTCTGTCAGTGTGTCCCAGGGCAGCTGTGACTACAGTAGTAGTTTATCACCAACGTGTTTGGAGAGAAAGAATAATGACATGTGAAACATCTTTAAGAGGAGGCTAAGTGACCAAAAGTAACTTGAGGGAATCGTCAAGAGTCAGATCTGAGATTATTGTGATTCAATTCGTGTGGCGAAGGCGAGATGGACAGGACTGGTCATCCAGAGAGTGCTATGTTAGTGCTAACCTGGACTAGGAGCACAGGGACTGGCCTCCTGCTGGGACTCTGAGGAGCACAGGGACTGGCCTCCTGCTGGGACTCTGAGGAGCACAGGGACTGGCCTCCTGCTGGGACTCTGAGGAGCACAGGGACTGGTCTCCTGCTGGGACTCTGAGGAGCACAGGGACTGGCCTCCTGCTGGGACTCTGAGGAGCACAGGGACTGGCCTCCTGCTGGGACTCTGAGGTGTGGTAGACACAAAACTAAATATACATAAGTTAAATAAATATCTGTGAAGCTTCTCTCTCACATGAACGACAAACGTGTGACTTCCCATGAAGAACAGGAAGTGGCATTTGACAAAAATAAAAAACGGAATTAAACATAAAAGCTGTTTTATATTATATTAGTGTTATATTATACATATTAAAGCTGTCCAGAATGGAGGCTATGACAAAACAGATCAGTTTAGAATTTATTGTTAAAAGGACTTTCCAAAGGAATAATGTACCGGTCATTATTAGTCATCAGTCCCTGCATGAAGCACAGGTACACAGGATTGCATGAAGCACAGGTACACATGACTGCCCTGCATGAAGCACAGGTACACAGGACTGCATGAAGTACAGGTACACATGATTCTCCTGTATGAAGCACAGGTACACAGGGCTGCACTAGATTAAGCACAGGTACACATGATAGCATGAAGCACAGGTACACATGACTGCATGAAGCACAGGTACACATTACGGCCTTGCATGAAGCACAGGTACACAGGACTGCCCTGTATGAAGCACAGGTACACACGACTGCATGAAGCACAGGGACACATGACTGCATGAAGCACAGGTACACAGGACTGTTTTAACCTGGATTTGAACATTGTCAGAGAAGAAGACCGTTTTTCAGGAAGCTGCTGTATGTGGACTTTGGCTTATGTGTGTGGTGCTGGTCCGGCAGGTCGCCATGGAGACGTTCAGCTCGAAGGACATGGCGATGAGGGCGCAGAAGAAGATCCTGAGCAGCATGGCCACCAAGAGCTCGGTCCAGATGTTCATCGACGACACCACCAGCGAGATCCTGGACGAGCTGTACCGCGTGTCCAAGGAGTACTCAGGGAACAAGTCCGAGGCCCAGAAGGTACTGGGACCGGGACCAGGACTACGGGGGTCCTCGGAGATCCAGGAGGGACTGAGGACTTTTATGAACCACTGCAAGTTTGTTGGTTCTGTGACCAGAGTGAGACAAGAGAGAGACTAGAGAGAAAGACCAGGGAGAGACCAGAGAGAGAGAGAGAGAGAGACAAGAGAGAGACCAGAGAGAGATAAGAAAGAGACCAGAGACAGACTAGAGATAGAGACCAGCGAGAGACCAGAGAGAGACCAGATAGATGTGCTCCGCTCTGAAAGAGGACTGTGATCTGTCTGTTCTGAAGGTCCTTCATAAATAATCCATTACTCTTTTGGTCCCTGGAAAAGCCATGTTCCAGCTTCTTCCCTCTGGCAGAAGATTTTGTTGTCTGAGATGCAGGAAATCTGGATCTGCTAACATGCTCACAGCTTCTTTGTTAGCTAACTTAATGTCTGTACTTTTCTGCACACTGGAGACTTGTACATGTAATCCAATGT